CTACCTTACAAGTCGTGTGTGTGCGTGTTCTAGTTTATTCATCCAAAACAGTCTTCCCGTCCCTCCCTCCTATAGACCCCAGTGCAAAGGTAACCCACCCTCAGCACGACAGATAACACGTATCAGCAGAGATGGCGGTGAAATGCAGAGTTGAAACATTTATTATTTGGAGTATTTGTTTCATAATTTTCAGTAATTTAGAACTTTCTGAAATCAGAACTAAATCACCCAGAAAAATCTCTTCTTTTTGGTGAACAGTGTACGGTAAGATTTCTCCTTCCCTACCCTCTTCCCCACCTTCTAACACCTTTCATTTTGACCTCACTTTCTGTTCCTACCCCTCTGTATTTTTGTAAAAAACTTCGGGCTGACACAGGTCAATTGTTTAATTAAAAAGTTATCTCCCTCGGGACTTCCCCGGTGGTCCAGTGGTTAAGACTCTGCACTTCCACTGCAGGGGACACGGGTTCAGTTCCTGGTCAGGGAATTAAGATTCTGCATGCCATGCGGCACGAGACCAAAAATTAAAAAAAGAAAAAGTTATCTCCCTCTACCAACCTGTGTACTTCTGGCTAGCACCACACATTGTCATGTGACTCAGTAATGGGCAGGGACCAGTCTCTGCAGACACTCCCCAGGCTCCTGGGCTGGCCTGGCCACCATCTTGGCCAGACCAGGGAAGTACGAAGGGTGGGGATGTTCTGGTTGCCACTCTGAGGAACTGAAAGCCTGGCAAGTTCCAGCCAGAAAGAATCCCCAAGGGGGACCTGTTACCGGGAGGCAGTGTCCCCAGTGTCTTGCCATGGAAGGGATTTGGGACCCTTTGATGAAAGACTGATTTGACTCACGGGGACAGGACAGCCACTTGCTGCTGACTTTTAGAGGCTGTTAGGCTAGGCCCAAGTCTCAGTCTTTTTAAAACGGGTCATTGCTAGATGTCACAGTGACTGTTTCGTGGGAGGGGTAGGTTTGGGGAGTGGAGTGGTGAAGCACGCAGCCAACTCAATCTTTAGCGGAAAAGTGATTTTGCGCAGGACTGGCTCAATCGTCCCACCCTGGATAGGCCACGGTTCCCAAGCTTGGGAGGAAGGGGGTATATGTCTCCTTCACCCATGGTATCCTGGACCGCTCCTCCCCAACCCTCCCCAGCCCCCGGGCGCCCCCTCCCCACAGTGGCCCGACTGTGGGGAATCTTCTCACTAGCTCACCTGGGTGGGGGCTCCTCTGAGGCCTCTGCCAGCACCTGCTGAGGCACAAAAGCCTTTGGGAGAAATTTCCTTTGCCAAACACACAAAGAACACAGATGCAGGGCATTTTTGTTTTTGGTGTGGTTTATTTTTTAAACCCACTTGTAGTTTGGGTTCAGCTGGAAAGCAGGACATACCGAGGGAGGGAAGGTGGTCGCGTGAGCAGGGTTCTGCTGCAGCTTTGGCGGGAAGCCCCAGGCCCCTGCTCCGGGGAGGTAGGACCCGTCACCAGGCTCCCAGCTGGCTCAGGCGAAGCGGGCAGCCCTTCTGTGCAAGTGTCCCGAGCAGAGGAAAGTTACCATTTCTCTCATCTGCAGCCTCAAAGGCTCAGCCTGAGGTTTCCCAACAGAGTGCCGGCAGCTGAGGGACAGGACTCCACAGGCAGGCTGGACAGGCTGCTGGACGAGGAACACTGGCCGGCTTCTGATGCCAGATAAGAGACTGGGGCTTGGCGTCTGGGCAGCCCCGTGGGGCTGCTCTTGCGGCGGCCTGGCTGTCTGGGCCCCCGCCCCTGCAGCTGCCCAGGGCATGATCAGTGGTACGTTTCCCACACCCCCCTCCCCATCCCTCAGAGAAAATAAAATAAAATAAAAATTAGAATAAATACCGACTCGGCCAACATTTACATTTACATGGATGGACAGGACGATCCCCAAACTTTAAAGGTGTACAGACTGGTTAAGGAAGGACGAGCAGACGAAAGTGGGTTTGGGGGGGTGCAGACTCTTGTGGAGGATGGTGGGGTCCCGCCTCGTGCAGGGGAGGCTGGGGGCCTTCTTGGGGCTGCGGTCCCAGAGCTTAGGCAAAGCCACAAGGCCATGGGAGCAGGAACAGGCCAGCTGCCTGAGAGGAAAACAATGACTACCTCGTCTTGACTGTCGGGGGAGAGACCGAGACAGGACCCGCATCAGACGGCTGGACTTTGCCTCCTCTGTGCCAAGGAAGCCACAGGCGAGGAGGGAGAGCCATGCAAGCATTAGAAACGCAATATCCAGTTTAGCCTCCCATCAAATACATTCAGAGGTCAACTTGGATACGGCCTCCCTCACTCAGCAGGGGAGATCTGGCCTGGGGAGGGGGCGGAGGTCTGGGGGTGCCCGCCTCTGCCCCCCAGTTCCTGTCTGAGTAGTCTCTCGTGGGAAGCTGCCTCAGTGTCTCAGATTTTAGGCTTTACTCTTATTTCCTTAAAAAAAAATTTTTTTTTAATGTTTTCCTTCCATGTCTGAAGAAGTAGCAGCAACCCATATTTAGAAAAACAGCTTCACTTGTTATCCGGATCGGCTAGGAAGCGCTTTCAAGCAGTGGGATATACTAGGCAAGCCGCATGTCTGGAGCCACGGTGACGCGACACGTAATTAAAAATATATTTATATATGTTTACATATTTATACCTCGCTTCTTCCCACTCTGGTCCTAACAGTCAAGGAGGGGTTGGCCGTGAGGCAAGACCACCAAGGAAGGCTGTTAGGAGGAAGGGCATTAAGCGCACAGTGCCCGACACGCTACTCGCTTGGCTTTCCAGGGGACGTCAGCCCCCTGAGCCCGTGGTATCTGGGGCCCCTTCATAAAGCTCGCTCTCTGAGCCCAAGGTAGGGGTGGGAGACCCACTCCCCTGCCTCCTCGACTTTCGACCTCACTCGCAGGCCTTCTCTCTTCTTCCAGGGCCCTGCTTCATTCTCAGTAGATGTGCTCGTGCATGCCTGCGCGCGCACGCGCACACGCACACGCACACGCACACACACACGCACACGCACACACACACACACACCCACCACTGGAGGGAAGCAGGGCCCATGTCAGCCCAGGTGTGGCTCTCTGAAGGCTGCCAGGGCGTGGCTGCTTGCCCGGCCTCGGCTGCCGACTCCTCGGGACCATGATTTCCCTGGTGCCCTCTCTGAGCATCCTAACATCAACCCGGCTCTTCTCTCAAGGCCTCCTGTGGGGCCTCTGGAGTCTCTGGGTCCCAGGCTGAGCCAGAGGTGTAGGCTGAGGAGGAAAGGCAGTGAGGAGAAGCTTGGGAGGAAGGGGCCGGGAGGGCGAAGGCAGAGGCCAGGGCCAGCGCGGGCTCCTTGGCAGAGGTGACCGACCCACTCCGGGTAAACCGGGCCCCCAGGCCTTGTCCCCAACAGGCTCTTTCTGCAGGCAGGTGGTGGCTGGTGGGGAAAGCCAGGAAGTACGGAGGAAGCTGCTCCCCACGCCACCTGCCTCCTCTCCGAGACTCAACAAAGGGGATTTCCTCCAGCCTGACTGGACCAGGCAACCAGTGGGCCTCCAAGGTGACCCAGAGAAGGACTGGCCTCAACAAGGAGCAAGTGAGGGAGCTGCTGGGCTCTGAGGTCGCTTTGCAGGGGCTCATCAAAGCGTGGGCTCCGGACCAGGAGATGGGCCGTGTGGATGCGTGACAACCCGAAGCCAGCCTCCCAGGGCCCAACACGCATCCTCCTTTCCAGCCATCAGAGAAGGAGCTGCTCCCAGGACTTGGCCCCTCCAAGAACCCCCAGACTTGTTCCCAGCCTGGAAAGCTAGTGGCTTGCTGCGTCCCCTGATGGACCCCACGACTCAATGAATTCACCCCTTCCCGACAGCCCTGGGGCTGCAGTGCCACAGCCCTCCCGGGGCACAGACCGTGGCTATGGGCTAGGGCACTGGCACAGCTCGTTTAGCTAGCCCTGGGGAGCCCTGCGGGGTCCCCCCATTCTCCCTCCAGCGAGAGCTTGGGACAAGACCTGTGTGTGGAGCGGGGAAGTATCACCGGGGGCGTTTTGGTTTTAATTCGCCAGCCTCGTTCTGAGCCCGGTTCACTATAAGGCCCCGGGGCAGGACGGGTTTAATGCTTTCCCGGCAGCGACAGTATCAGCCCTTTGAAGGGAGGAAGCTGGAAAAAGAGAGAACAGAGGTACTGGAAGCCGTGGCCTGAGGGGCACAGGGTTCCAGCGGGTTCCCCTGCCGGGGCAGAAGTTTCCAGTTACCCTAATTGGCTACTGGCAAGCTGTCTGTGGCTAGAATCCTTCCAGAGGGGGCCGGGTTTGATCTCCCTCTCATCAGGGGGTCCTCGCGGTGCTGACTGTGTGATCACATTGCGGGCCCTTTGCGTTGAGAGAGGAGACTTCAAAGCAGCTGACTTTTGAAAAAATAAAACACAATGAAACAAAAGAGTGCAAGTAGAAGGAAAAACTCCATCTCTCCTCCAGGCCCCAGGCCCGCCCCCGGCCCCCTGGGCCTGCAGCTTGGGGGCTGAAGGGAGGAGGCTGGATGTGGGGAGGGTGGAGCATGAAGGTTAGAGGAGACGCCTCTGTCCCCCGCTCGGCCGTAAGGACAAAGGCCGTCAATTGCGGGCGGCTGGTGGGGACCGTGCCTGCCTTTGTACTCCCGGACATCTGCTACACGTCGCCTGCTGCCAGTTGGCGACTGCGGCTGACAGCATGCGGGAACAATGCAAGCCCGTCTCCGACCCACTTTTTCCGCCTTCTGAGGTCCTTTCTGACCCAAGCTGTACCCTGCGTGCAGGCTGCCAAGGCCTCTGAGGAGTCACAGAGATGAAGCCCTTGCACACAGCCCTGCTGGGGACATGTTGCATGGGAGGGGGTGGGGAGGAGTGGAAGTGAGGGGGGGGAGGGCCAGGCCACCGCGAGGAAGAAACATGCTCCCCTTACTGGTGTGAGCGGCCGCATGCTCGGGCTGGGGGGCTCGGGTAGGGGGGCGCTCCTCCTAGGGCTTTGGTCCCTTCCCCGTCTGGCTCCATACTGGCCGCCGGCTCTGCTTGCCTTCCTCCCCATTTCTTTCTGCCGGCAGGGCCACCCCTGTCCTCCCGCCTGTCCATCTGGCTCTGTGCACCAGGGCCCCAGCTGCCCTCGGGCCACCCGCCAGGCCCCCTGGCTGTCAGGCTGTCAGTTTCTGGATGGTTCTGTTGTAGTACTGCGTGATGGGGGGCGTCAGAGGGTTCCAGCTGTTGGCGTGGAGCTCGATGACCTCCAGCAGCAGGGACCGGGTCAGCATCGACTCTGAGGGGCACAGCATCTTGTCGCGGGCACTGGCCAGGAGCTCCGCCATCATCTCGGGCAGCTGCTCCTCCAGCAGTCGGCCTGTGCTCTGCAGCTGTGGGCAGAGAAGTGAGGTTAGGACGTGAGCTGGGCTCTGAAAGGGCTCCTGACCCACCTTGGTTAGGGGTGCTGGGGGCAGGAACGGGAAATAGCTGGATTATCCCAGGAAGGTGCAGGCCCAGGCCTCTATGCCACAGGGCAGAAGGATGGAGAGTGTGGAGGGTGGACACAGCCAATGCGAGAGCCCACATTTAATACCCAATCTGCCGGAGGAATAAGAGGGGTCAGAATATTGCCTGCTGCCCAGGGCTGCCAAGAGTCCTCACCAGGAACACGCTGCTTCTCCCTTCATCCACTTGCCTCCCCTCCTACAGGAAGCCTTCTCGGACTATCGCCCACAACCTCAATGGCCGTGTGACCTGCTTCCTTCAAGAGTGACCAGGTGGCACCGTGTCAATTTTCACTTGCTGGGATGTCTCTCTGGAAACGAACTTGGTCATTATTACCTGCATGTGTCCGTGTGGAACCCGAGAGCAGGGATGAGGTCTCTTGTTTCTCTCTTTCCTTCTCTTCTGCCCCCAATCGCACCTACATACCCCCAGAACTGACCCCTGCCCACACTTGTGACACGAAGGGGAGGAGAGAAATATGAACTGGGGCAGAAGGCCAGCCAGAGGGCCTGCCCCCAAGAGAGGCCCCTGGTCATCTCGAACAGCCCCCTTAGGAAGAAGGAGCCCCGATCCTCTGGATCAGCGCACCCTCGGCCAGCAGCCCGTGCAGCTCCTCTCCCTATAATCTAAGTCCCCATCTCTGCCCCACCTCCAGCCTCAGCCCACCCGCTTTTTCAAGGCTCTGCCTTCTTCACGAAACCTTCCCTGACCTTTCTGGCCCACTCTGACCTCTCTCCTAACTCCTCAGGGATGCATGCTCTGTACCCATATTTATTCCCTACACCGTCCCATCCACTCTGTGCATGTGACAGAGGTCTCTATCTCTAGCCAGACCACAAGCTGTCTGGAGGCAGGGACCATGCTTTCTCCTCCCCTCCTATCTCCCCTGCCTGGAGCCCCGGCGTGCCCTGGGTGTGGGCCCTGGAAGCCCCTCTCCTCACCACGCTCCACTCTGAATGTCCCTGGGCTGTTTTCTTTTTTTTTTTTTTGGCCACGCCGTGCGGCTTGCAGGATCTTAGTTCCTCGACCAGGGATCGAACCCGTGCCCTCAGCAGAGGAAGCGCGGAGTCCTAACCACTGGGCCACCAGGGATTCCCCTTGGACTGTTTTCTGAAGGCACAGCTTTGTCCCTGTAACTGGGCCAAAGCCAAGTGTCTGAAGGAAGATCCCGGAGAGCAGAGGCCACACCTTGGGAACAGGAGTGGGACCTCATGGGGGCTGCTTGGAAGTGGACAGTGCCGACCTGGGGGTTCAAGCCTCAGCACCTCCCCCCAAACCCCACACCACTGAAGCCAAAGGAGATATGTGGGGGCAGGGCATCACCTAAAATCTCCTAAGTCATTTATGTGGTGCACCTGGCCGAGGAGGAGGTGGTCTTGGGGGCAGAGGGAGAGTGGACGATGCTAGCCCTCCATCCTTCCCGCCAGAGAGCCGGCAGTTCCCTCTCCTCCAGCAGAAGTCCACATCCACTCAGGAAGCCGTCCGCCACCAGCCCCGCTCGACACGCCCTTGCCCTGGACCCGTGGATGCCTCCAGTGGTCCTTGAGCCCCCATAACTGTTAAGGCGAGAGGGACGCACAGGGTCTGAGGTGGGAGGTGTCTAAGCCACGCTGCTTACCTCCATTGAGCAGCACAGGACGGCATCTTCCTTCACATCCTGAGATTGCAAGAGCTGGAAGAGAGCGGCAGAGAATTACGCTTAGGCTGGTGCACTGCTCTCAGCCCCCTGCAGCCCAGAACAAGCATCTCCAAGGGGCGGGCCAGAGAGGCAGCCCACAAAGGACGGCGGGCAGCAGGGGCACTGCCCCAGGAAGCAGTGATTTCTCTGACGGGATCTAAGCAGCTAGAGGACCGCCGTAGTCACGGAGCGTGGGCATCCCGGCCAGGTCAGAGGGCTTGACTAGAGGCCACGGCAGAGCAAGGCCGCAGGTGGGTTTGAAGGCAGCGGCAAGCATGCTGGGATCATCAGCTATGAGCAGCTGGTCAGCAAAAATGAAATTCACGTAGATTTCCTGATTAGTGAGAGGGGCTCAACCATGGTCTCAGGTGCTCCTGGGCCCTGGCTATAGGAGGACTTGCAGAAATCACAGCAGTCTTCTCCACGGGCCCAGCAATGTGAGCCTGCAAAGCCATGCAGACTGTTCCAGAGGCTGGAATTGCTTCCTGACCAAGGCCACGGCCGGAAGGCTCAGCACGGGGACTGGCCACCCCCCGTCCAGGCTTTCCTCTATGTGCTGCATTTCATTCATTCAGTCTCTCTCCCTCTCTCTCTAAATTGAGACATAACTCATGTAACATCAAGTTTACCATTTTTAAGCATACAATTCAGTGACTTTTAGATTCACAAGGTTGTGCGACCATCACTACTAACTCTAGAATATTTTCATTTCATGGCTCCCAAAAGAAACCTGTACCCATTAGCGGTCAGTCCCCTTTCCCCCGCCACCCCCGCCCCTGACAACCCCTAACCGCTTAATCTCTATAGATTTACCTATTCTGGACATTTTATACAATGGAATCATATAACACGTGATTTTTTTGTGAATGGCTTCTTCCACTTATAATGTTTTTAAGGTTCATCCATGTTGTAGACTGTGTCAGTTCTTCATTCCTTATTGGGGTTGGAAGATATTCCTCTGTGATACACCACGTTTTGTTTATCTACTCATCAGTGGATAGACATTTGGGCTGTCTCCACTTTCTGGCTGTTGTGAACAAGGCAGCTATGAACACTTGTGAACGAGTTTTTGTGTGGACATGGGTTTTCATCTCTCTTGGGTACGCACCTAGGAGTGGAATTGCTGGGTCATGTGGTAACTCCATATTTAGCGGTTTGAGGACCCGATAAACTTTTCTACGGTGGCTGTGCCATTTTTCATTCCCTCCGGCAGTGCCTAGGGTTCTGATTTTTCCACAGCATCACCAATATCTGTTATTTTCTGCCTTTTTCCCCCCATTTTTTCCCAGGTCACTTTCCAGCTTTCCTTGGAGACTTCTGGATCACTCCAGCCCATGGTGCCCGCCCCTGCTTCTCACTCCCGAGCACCCCCTGGCTTTCCCACCGCTCAGCATTCCACACAAGTGGCAAGACATCTTCCAGTGTGAACTGTGGCCTCCTGAAGGCAGGGCAGTGTGACGTTCATCTCTGCTGCCCTTTAACACCTAGCACAGCTCCTGGCAACAGTAGGGATTCGATAAATGTGGGTCGATGTGATTTATGCATTGTTTTTGTTTTTTGTTTTAAAGGAAGGGCGGAGGGTAAGGAGAGAGCACAAGAGGAAGGCATTTTTAGGGTCAGCTTCCTTGTCCACTAACCGAGAACTGGAGTCAAGGTTTCTGATCTGGGCATGACGCGTTCAAGGAGGGTGAAATCACACACAACCCCGGGGACTGTTCTCACTGCAGACTCGAGATCCAAATTCCACACACTCTCCTTAACTTCCCCCTCCTCCTGTCATATTGCCCAGGGTCTCCCCCAGCAGAAGCCGCGAGCGGTCACATCAGGGGGGCTGAAGATGTATGTATTAAACGTCAAATGAGTCCAGGGGCCAGATCAGTGTGGGATGCTGTGCCCAGAGATGCTCTCAGGGACCAGACCTCCTTCCTCTTCGTATCTCGGCAGGGCTGGGCACTAACTGATCCCACAGTAGACACACCGAAAAAGAAATCATTTGGGGATGAAGGAGCAGAGGTAGGTCTCAGGCTGCTCAAAAGATGAGCTGGTGGAGAGCAAGGGACCACCCGGGGAAGGTAACAGTGTCGGCCATGCAGTGACAGGCGTTGACGGCTATTGGTGGGCACGCTTTGCCCAAGGACACACTTCTGACTCTGGGCCTCTGTGCTCTTGTCAGCCAGGAATTCTCAGCCACCACCTGTCTGAAGACCTTCCTTCCTCAGTTTACTCAGGGCTCTGCCCCGACATCACCTCATCCGCCAGGGATTCCCTGACCGGCCCGCGTGTAAGTGATCCCGCCGTTCACCTCCTGACTTACTTCTCTCCACAGCCTCTCTCACCCCTGACATACGATCTATTTGTTTGTCTGCTGTCTCCCCCAGGGGAAGGCAAGCTCCAGGAGGGCAAGGCCTGTTTGGTCCATTCTCTTCCCGAAACCTGGCACCGTGTCTGGCACGTAGTAAGCACCTGGAAGTATTTGCTAACAAATATGCCTTGAGTAGCAGGGAGAAAACCCACCCAGCTGGGAGGGTCTGCGAGTGAGGAGGGACTGACCTTGAGCCGCAGCCCCAGGGCAACTCACCCCAGTGCATGCGCCTGAAAAGGCGACAGTGAGCGGGACTTGGATACCTCCACCCCACAGACTTCTCCTGTCAGAGCAGACACGGCACAAAATTATCATCAGTGTGTCTGCAAACGTACAGCGTGTGTGGAAACAGAAGTTGGTGTGACTCTCTAAACGGCAATTTGGTGATAGCTATCAACACTGCAAGTGTACAAACCCTCTGAGCGGCGATACTACTTCCAGGAATTTATTCCACACGTGCCCCCCGCTGCCCACATATGCACCATGACATGCATATAAGGTTTTTGCTGCACTTTTGCAAATAGCTTGAATGGCTACCAACAAGGGGACTGGTTAAATTATGATGATACATTTGCACAGAGGAATACTCTGCAGCACACAGCTGTCCACCCTCCTCCCCATGCCGGTGTCTGCTTCTGGGGTTTTCTTGCCCCGCAGGGCTGCAGCCCCTCAAGGGGAGCCAAGGGAAGCTTCCACTGAGTCAGTGTCTGGGGGAATTCTGGGGGTCACACTAGGAAGGACCTCTCTCATCTAGAAAACCCTGGAAGCAGGTTCTGGAAAAAGGTGGGGGGAGGTGACTCACCTTGCAGCAGGCGTACCGAGTCATGGGTACTGGACCACGGGTTGGTTCCAGCATCCGACCCAGCCTGCTCTGGGAGGGGCTGGTTCCAGGACTTGGAGGGCCCTGACTGTCTCGGGGGGAAGGTGGGCGTAGCCCCACTGACTCTGCACAGAACATGAGGACAAATATTAAGAGAATCCTGTGAGGTTTGTTGGGACTTCTTTCTGATGGTAACTTTGTTCCTGCATAGATTTCCCATAGTGCTTAGCAGGAGGAGAAACCTTAAAATAAAAATTGCTGGTAGAAATCACAAGAAAGGGGGAAAGCGGGGTATCTGGTGGGAAGGGAACTCCCAGAGACAGAGTGGGTGGTGGCAGCCATTTGGGGACGAGGGGGCAGGCAGAACTGGGAGCTTATGGGAAGGAAGGAAGGGGTCCCGCTCTGGGTGCACCCGGCACGTTGGCTGACACACAGTAGGTGCTAGTAGTGACTGTCATGGGAAATTGAGATGAACCTGGGATCATGTTCCGTTCTGAGACCAGCTTCTTAGGGGTCCTGGGGCTTTGAGACATGGGAGGTAACATGATGGGAAATTCTATGAACAGCCGGGGCCGGACAAGTACTAGATGCTCTGAAATGTGACTGTTTCTCCCTCCAAGTGGCCCCTCCGACTTCTGCCCGCACTGCGTGGACAGCCTCGTGGAGCCTCATGCTTCTGCCAGCACTTCGCCCAGATGAGCAGGTGTCTCCTCTTTCCTTCTATGGCCCGAGGCCCGCCTGCCCTCCGTCTGCTCCCCGGTGACGGTTCAGAACTGCAGAGCCGGTCCAGGGCTTCCCGTTCTTCCTTCCTTTTCCACATCTTAGTGACTGGACTACCTCCTCCCTTCTGCACACCCGAACCCCTGCAGGCCTGCTCCCTCCCTGGGGGGCTCTGGGGGGACAGACTCAGGGTGGGGACTCTCAGCAGGGCTGTGGGCAGGCTCTCACCCCAGAGCCTCTCCTCCCACCTTATCTTTCACTGGTTGTTTGGGAAAGTCTGTGCTAGCCAAGAATCACATCGAGTGATAGGCCCTCTCGCAAACGGCCTGCTGGGTTTTCTCAAGGAAGTGGGGGAGGACTGATAGGCCTTCACTGTACTTTTCCTCTGCCGTTGCTGGGATGCAGAGTTCGGGAGGGGAATGGGTGCTGCAGACCACGTCCTACTCTCCCCCAAACGCTATCTCGGCCTGTCCGTTGCCAGCTTTTGAGGGCGGACCCTTGGAGGCTTAGAGCTGAAGGGCTGCAGAGAGGACGTCCCCTCAGCCCCCATCATCACAGCTGGGAAGTCCCACCCTGCTGCTCTGTGTGGTGGAACGAGAGGCCGGCTGGCCTTACCTCGGGGGAGCACTTGACACACGCTACGGGGCTCCCTCCCCAGGACCCCTGTCAGTGTCACTCTGAGAGGCTCCAGTGCCTCTGGGTGATCAACGGCTTCTCAGGGATCCGTCCTTGTCTCGCTCTTTGTGGGCAGTGTCCAAGGGCAAGACCTTTCCACTCTTTTCTGTCTTGGCCAAAACTTACCTGTTTTGTGTTCCATTTCTTCATGGCTTGCTTTCCTAAAACACAGCTAGTTTCTGGACAAATGAATCCCTGCTGGTACACTGAGGGGGCCAACTCTGTTGTTTATGCGTGTTCTATTTGGGGTCTTCTGGACACAATGCTTCATTTAACTCCAAGCAACTCTCAAAAAGTAGTGGCAACTTGAACAGATTCTTGTCCACCCGTGTTCACAACGGGCAAGGGGTGGGAGCAACCCAAGTGTCCACTGACGGATGAATGGATAAACTAAGTGTGGTCCATCCATACAACGGA